GGGGACTATTTCAGACCATGTATCATTTTCATGGCCTTTAATGGCCGATTTTAAATGCCGATGGAAGCGTTCCACGATTACATTTGATTATGGATGATATGTTGTAGTTTTTATTAGAAACAGAAAAAGAGAGAGAGAGAGAGTGTTTCAATAGGAGACGGCGAGACTTCGAGAATTCTGTCCGCAATGTCGGCAGCTTTGTTTAACGGGAGGTCAGAAACAGGAGCTAAAATCGTTTGAACCGAAGACGGCAAACACTGAAGAAATAACTCCATCATCAGTTTATTATCAACATTTAAAGATTTCGCGCGTCGTTTCATGTTACGCAGCAATTCGAAAGGGGTTTTCGAGAACCTAATTCTTCCCTGTTACATCTGCATGCATGAGGATATCTGGAACTATATAAAGACGCGGTGTCGGGAAGGAGATTAGCTACTATGTAATTATACTTAGTTACAGATTCAGTTATAGGTCTTGGGGTTGTTAGGGCAAATGTACTTTCGCACATAATGAACCATAAGGCAAGATCGGATATATTATATAGTGGGATTTGTATAGCACTTACTTCCGACATTGTGCAAAGTTTTAGAACAAAATTACAAAATAAACAATGAAACATATATATACATTCAATAATAAAGTGCTATTATAATCAGAAATATTATAGTTAATCAGAATTTGGCATCTTTATTTATAGTACATGATATTTTTAGCATGTATCAGAATTTTATTTCATCAGAAATTATTATATGCAATTAATTAATTTTAGCATTAAAGATGAAAAAAAAAATAAAATGAAATATGAAATTGATAAAACAGTTCAAGTTAAATTAAAAGCAAAGAAAAATGAACAGAGAAAATATCCACTTATCTGTGAAATATTTGCAGCTGAAGATGAGTGCCACACCCGAAATCGAAACCAAGGAAGTAGATACTCCGATCCATTCACAAAGGAATTGAGTCCTTATTTTAAATGCAAGTAAATGATAATGTTTTTTTCATGACCATTGATTTAGTAAAAGACTATTCACAAGTTAAAACATTTGCGTGAAGATACGGGGTCACCATTATAGTAAAAGAAACATTTCTCATTCAATATTCTTTTATTGCGGTGCTCATCACACATCGTCTTAGTGTGTTTACATCCTGAGTTGGTCTGTCTGCCAGCGCAGATTCTCAAACCTATTCTAAGGGGTTGCCATATTCAATTCGAGACCCATGGTCGGGTTTACCACAAATTCAATGCATTGTTATTGTATGGAGGTGTGAATATTGGTTCGTAAACACTGAAGGTTTGAGAAGCACTGATTTAAGCAGTTTGTGAAAAATTTTACAAATGGATAAAAAATATGATTGTTTATAGAAGTGAGCTACAATAACACAAATCTTAACTCAGTATCGCTACAAACCATGAGGCTACGGCCTACTGTGCCAAACTGAGTATACGCGCCCTTGCGCCCTGAGGTGCATAGCAGATGTTCCGGTCAGGTAGTCAGTCTGACGCGACAATAACTCATATTATACATATAATGGCTCATGCCGTGGAATGTATATTGTTTTACTATAAGTGTTACGGCAAAATAATATAAATACTACTTTATCGTCATAGTAGGCTCTATGGCTGTAAATTTTGAGAAGGGTGATACTTAAAGTTACGACATCAAGTCTTAGTTCCATAAAAGCTTTTTTTAATGTGAAAATGAAGGGTTACTTTAGATAGAATCCAATTTCTTGTGTATTGATTGATTGATTGTGAATATTAACGTCGCACTGTTCAGCTACACGAGGGATTTTGGCGACGGACCACGTAATTTTGAACCATGGTCAAATGACGTGGACAACTGACTGAGCTGTCACCCCCTCGCCTAACTACCACACCAACGGGAGGACGTTTCAGCTTTCGACAGATTTAGAGTGCATCGCTGCCCTACTCGGCAGGTCTTTAGTGGTACTGGGCTCGAACTCGTGACAAAGCCAGCCACGATCCGATACCCATACCACTTGGCTACTGCGGCCACTAATATCAATTAGGAGGTATTTATGATGCTTTATTTAGTGTTTATAATAATGCTGAAATGGACAACTCTATAATAGATGAGGCATATGGACTATTGTGTGTGTGTGATTTCTATTAAACAATTAGTTCTTACGCCCCATCATTATTTGGTGTAAAATCTTAAATTGCACAAAAATCCAATAGGCAATCTATTGCAGACAAAAGATTACGATCTACTATCTGCTATGGAATTCTTAAGAAATTGTAAAATTTTTATAAGGAACTATCAGACGTGGCTTTTGATGAAATTCTCTGTGATGCAAAAGAACTGGCCGACGAGATCGATATTCCTGCTAACTTGTGATGACGCAGCCACGTCACAGAGTTCGACGAAAAAATGTTGATTTTGATTATGAAGCATGGGATGATCCGATGGAAGATCCTAAATTAAAATTCAAGATTGTGTTTTATTATTTACACAAATGACCAAGCAATTAATGCTTTGGAATGTAGATTTAATTTAACGAGTACTCACAGTATAGGTTTTCAATTTTTATTCAATGTATATAATTTAAAAGATACCCCTAAAAATTTAATTTAAAAACTGTAAAGTTTAGAAATGATGTTGATCGATGGGAAATCAGTGCATATAAACGCACTTGATCTAGCAGATGAGATAATATCAGTTTTAGCTTTATTAGGCAAAAAAGAAAGCTCACAGATACAATTGAAGTTTTAAAATTTATCTCAGTTTTAGAATTTACTTTAAATCTTGCTATTGCATTAATAATTTTGTTTTCTTTTCCAGTAAGTGTAGCTGGAGGAGAGAGGTAACCACAACTTTTTTCAAGATAGATTAAATGACTTAGCTACATTGGCTATCGATCATGAAATTGTTAAGCAAAGTGATTAACAAGAACTGATTGCCAATCAGAAAAAAAGTTGTAATTTTTTCCTTTATTTTGTTATTTGTTTTATTTTTGTGTTTTAGTTTTTAATAAATATTTATATACTTACTGTTATGTTGCCTTTTTTTCGCAAGAACTATTCAAGTTTTATAGGAATGTATTTATGAATAATTTTTATCTACTTTAATTATGATTTTTTTTTTACTTTGTGGAAAGGGGCGGCATTTTCCATTTTTGTTCGGAGAGGCAAAATTGCTAGAGCCGGCCCTGATCACCTGGTGGCAAAAGCTGATGTTATTAATTTTTCATTTAACTATAACAAGATAAACCGAATTTCTGAAGAAAAAAAAAAAAACAAATTATACTTTTAGAAAGATAGACTCAAACACGCGCGTTTGATTGAATTAATTAATTAATAAATGTCAGATCCAAATTATTACTATCTTATGGTGACACCACGGTACATTTTACGAGGGGTGATTGATAAATAAGGTCTCTAACATATAAAATATGTTTGCGACAAGTAAAATAATAACAAAGGTATAAGAATGAAGGACATTTATTACTTTTACATATTGTAAACTCATTTTTCAACATAGTCATCACTAACAGCTGCACATTTGTTCAATCGTTCGATCCATTTCTTCATTCCGCTTATGAAGGAAGATTCTGGATGGCTGTGTATCCATTTGCGCACGGCAGCCTGAATTTCGGCATCCATTGAAGAACGTTGAACTTTCAACGTCTCCTTCAATTTTTAACAACCAAAAGTCCGACGGTACTAAATCTGGGCTGTAAGGAGGTTTTGGAACCACTGTGAATTTCAGTTTTCCCATGACGTTCTGTGTTTGTGCACTACAATGCGGTCTTGCATTGTCGTGATGCAAAAGAAAAAGTTTCTTTCCGGTCTGATTCTGCGGATGTGTTGTTTGAGTGATCTTAACGTTGCACAGTACCTGTCAGAATTAAGCGTCAATCCTTTAATCAGAAATTCCATAGAGCACACCATTTGCATCCCAAAAGATGGTGAGCATGAATTTTGTTGCTGGCATTAAAAATTTGAATTTCTTGACACTCGGAGAACCAGAATGACGATATTCCATAGGTTGCCTCTTGTTTCCTGGGTCATAATGATGAATCCAGGATGCCGAAGTTCAAGCAGCTGTGCGCAAATGGATACGCATAAAACCAGAATCTTTCTTCATGAACGGAATGAAGAAATGGATAAAACGATTGAACTAACGTGTAGCATAGGTTGAATATAGATTAGCATAAATTGAACATAGTGGTGACTATGTTGAGATGCAAGAGTAATAAATTTCCTTATTCTGATATCTCTGTTATTATTTTACCTTGTTCGAAACATATTTTATACTGTTGGAGACCTTACTCGTATACCCCTCGTATTTTTATACATTACTAAAATTAATGGCTTACCGCGCGTTTTCCTATTGAATACAAGATTTATACCCTAAGATTATAAAAGTCTTATATCAATATTTTTTTAATTTTAAAACATCTTTACATGTACGTATTAGGAAGTTTTGATTGTAGATTTACAGAGAATTAGCGCACAAAACTGAACACTTTGCGTTTTCGGCTTAAAAATTATTTAAAACTTCATATGCGTTCCTTTTACGTGAAAAGCGAAGGATAAATTAAGTCTGTAAGAAATAGCCCTTTGTAAATATATATAAAATGTAATTAAATTAGTTTTGAAACCTTACTCTTCTATTATTTAAAGGGGAAAACAAGTAATATAAAAAAATTAAGTCTATTCCTACATAGGTCAACAAAGAAAATTGAAAATTTTTTATTTTAGTTACTTTTTATTAAATAGTTACATTTGCTATAAATATATATATATATATATATATATATATATATATATATATATATATATGAGACAGGATCACAATATATTAAGTGGCAAAACAGAAAGCGATTTTCCTCGCAATTTTTTCATTTTTTTTTCTTATATAGGGTGTTGAACTCTTTTTTTGTTTGTTTGTTACTATTTTTATTCATTAATTTAATTTAAAAATTTCAATAAAATAGTATAGTAAAAAAAGAAATCACATTCTCAGAAATTAGTCCATTCCAAGAAGGAATTCGAACCCTAGACCTTTGGATTAGAAGTTCAACGATTTATCCATCGATCTACTGGGATACGTCGAACGATTTTCCTTTCTATATATGCTGTTGAACTATTATTTTAGTTTGTTACTATTTTTTCATTTTTTAATTTAATTAATGAATTAATATTTGGGAAAATGTATTAACATTAAGTGTCATCCACTACAATTTTAAGAAAATGTATTTGAATTTGAATGGATGAATAGAAAGTATTTTATTATCGACTAAAAATTACTCACTATATGTATATATTTAATGTACATAGGAGAGAGTGAACTAATAGTAAGAATTAAAAAAGGACAATATAGAAGGGATACCTGTCGTAAAATCCGGCGTATAACGTGCACCTACACTTTCAAGCTACAATTATTAATTTTTAGGTATATTCGCCGTATAACGTGAACCCCCTTTTTTACAAAGAAACCTGAAATGTTAATATACAGTGCTCTCATGTTTTGAAGTCACTTATTCGAGGTATTATTCCAGAATTTAGAAAAATAAAAAATAGCATATTTCTAGAACTAAGTTCATAAGAAATGTCATTTCTTTTAAATAAGCAGTATTTCGTTATATATAGAAGTCTAACTTTTTTCCATTATCATCTCTTTTTATTTTTAAAGCTTTCACTTTCATACCTGGCAAGGTATAACGTGAAAGGTGTTTATAACGTGCAAAGGTAATTTTCGATCTTATTTTTCGTGATAAAAGTGTACGTGTTATATCCGGGATTTAACGGTAAGTAACGAATCTTTTAAAAAAAAAAAAAATCAAACTAACAAACAATATTTAGATGTACATATTGCACTCTTTTATCGATCTTCGTTGTGAATAAGCTTCTATTTAATTAACCTCTTAGTGCTAGAGAGATTCACTCAAATATTTTTCAATTTGTTTCTAAATCTTTAATTTCATCAGAATTTATAATTTTTCTAAAATGTTGATTCCGTTCTGAGTTTTTGATTTTTATTGATCTCTTCTCTCTCTCTCTCTTTTCTTTATTCTTCTTCCTCTTCATGTTTACATTTTTGAAGATTAAATAAATCACTATCTCTTTTAAAAATCGTAAAACGTTAAGGTATTGGTCTACGTTCGGAATCGTGATTTTCCAAAAGCGTATAAATGGATAATATTTATAATATTTAGAGTCACTTAGATTAGAAAATGTATATAAAATTACTTTAAGAATAGTATTACAATAAAAAATTATTTAAGTACAATATTTTGACAAAAAATGAACATAGAATGACCCATTTTCAAAATATGGTCTTTTTGTGAAAAATGCTTCTCTTATAATAATATTTCACCTGTATATAGCTTAGACCTCTGTACAGAGGCTCAACTAGAATTTTTGGAATAAATAACTTTGGGTTAAAAGTGGGTTTATCCATGTTTTACGACACAACAGAGGGGAGACATTTTAAGAAAAAAACGCCTATAATTATTTCAGTTGGTTGTATTTCTGAACATAATTTGAATTTTTCAAAATTTATAGTTGAGCCTCTGTATAGAGGTCTGCGCTATATACAGGCAAAATATTATTATAATAGAAGCATTTTTCACAAAAGGAGAACATTTTGAAAAAAGTTTATTCTAAGTTAATTTTTCGCCGAAATATTGTATTTAAATAACTTTTTTTAGTCAAAAAATGTCCTTAAGACAATTTTATACATGTATTCTAATCTAAGTGACACTAAATATCATGGAAATTATCCATTTATGCGCTTTTTTAAAATCACGGTTCCCCGAACGTAGTCGGATACCTTAATGTACCCGAATGTTCTTGCAGCTTTATTTTTACCAATTTTATGAATTGATTATTATTGTATTTTATAACATTTATTTCTTCATGGCTCCAAAACTGTGAATTACCATTAAATACTACATATTGGTTGTGTCCCAAAATTTCGCGGAAGGATTTTTTGTAGTTGGCAACTCTGGCTGGCTTCGGGTGGAGAAGTTGGTAAGGGATCTAAGCTTCAGAACGAGACCGGTGTTGATGAGGTAGGGCCAAGCTCTAAACAGAGGTATCTACTGGACCCTCGTTGAGCAAAAAATAGACCAATTTTCAGAGTAGCGTTATACAATCAAGTATTTTGTGTGAAACTAGGTAAAAACGGGATAAAAGAGGCTTTGAAATGATTCGGAAAGTCGACGGTGACTGGACGATGAAACAAACAAAAATTTCGTGTGGTACAAGTGTTTCTGGGAGGGTCGCTAGTCCTGCCAACAACCGCTCGGGATGACCGTCGACATCACAATTGAACGAAACGTTGCAAAACATGCGTCAAGTTTTGGACGATTAAATGCTCAGATGAATTCAGAGAAGTGTGAAATATGTAAAACAATCGTCCATTGCATTTTAACAGAATTCAAATGAGGAAAGTCTGCACGAAAAAGGTGACAAACATGACAAACCTTCAAGCCACACTGCACTCATTCTCTCAGATTGATTGATTGAATATTAACGTCGCACTGTTCAGTTACACGAGGACTTTCGGCGACGGACCACGTAATTTTGAACCATGGTCAAGTGACGTGGATGACACCTGAGCTGGCACCCCTCTCTCCTAACTACCACACCACACCAACGGGAGGATGTTTCAGCTCTTGACAGATTTAACGTGCATCGCTGCCCTACACGGCGGGTCTTTAGTGGTATTGGGCTCAAACTCGTGACAAGGCAAGCCACGATCCGATACCTATACCACTCGGCTACCGCGTCCACACTCATTCTGTCAGAATGGCTGGCAAAAATAAATGTGGCAATGCTGCCCCAGCCTCCGTACACTCGATCTGGCTTCAGCAACCTTCTTTTGTTTTGGAGCTGGAATGTTTCAAAATTTACAAGTGGTATGGTACGGAAGTTTTCTGACTAAGGTAGCAGCTCAAAAATAATGCCTTTATATTCTGATTGCGGTTCGCATTCACAAAGTCCCTCTCAAGTAATTTATTGTTTTGTTTTAGTAGGGTATTAATGCTAAGGGGAAAAAACTCTAGTATTTGGGTTTAAGTGGCCATTTCGTAATCCAGCTAAATATCCAGTTGCATTGTGGATAGCTTAGAGCTTTTCCCCCTCAAATGGACTGCATTTTGGCAGTTAAGACTTTGAAGTCTCAACGTCCACGAGTGGGAGAGCCATTTCATTGGTGGTATTATCTAGTGGTGGCTTCAGCTACCAGATTTTTGATGCATGAATTTATTTAATTCAAGTTCTTATCGGATGCTATGATTAGAAATTTGATAACGTGGCTCTACGAACTACTTACGACGGATAGACAATTTTGAACCATAGTCAGGTGATGAGGACAACACTTGAGCTGGAACTCCACTTTCCCTACTTTAGCACCAACGTAAGGGTTCTTTGAGCTTCGACAGATTTCATGTGTATCAACCCCGATACAGTGCGGGTCTTTAGCAACCTCAGGATCCAAACCATGATTCGACTCAAATAACTCTTGACACGAGTTTGCAACCATGATCACTCGGCTACCGCGGCTAGAATGATGAATTAAAGAGGGGCTAACGTACAACACAAAAAGTTCATCGTCTGGAATTTCAAAATCAGATTGAGAGAGAGAGAGTTACGGTTAGTTAGAATTTCTGATAATCATAACTAAGTTTATTAACACGAGAGTTGAAATAAAAATTATTTACAGTTTATACATTTGATACATTTATAGTACCTAAAAAAAGGTTTCTTAAAAGTTGTGTACAACGTTAAAGAGGAAATTTAATGTGGAATATGGAATTTCTTCTTTTAAAATACTTAAATTATAATTCCAAAAAAAAGAACCATTAATAAAATTTTTGATGTCTTTTTTTGCGGTTCTATACTGACTTTATATATATATATATATATATAAACTGGATTTTATAAGAAAAAATACACTTTTATGGAATACTTAAGATGTGTGGTTTGATTACTATACAAGAGAGGATAACAAAAAAAAATTTATAAGCAATTCTCTTTAGAAAGTCTCAAGTAATCTAAGTTTTACAGTGTAACAAAAATAAAAATAACATCAATTTATTGTTATATACCTATAAAAACTATTTAGTCTGAAATATTTTTCAATCTTACACTTTATATTTTGCGAAAGACCTGAGAGATCTAATATCACTCCAAGAAGGAAGTAAGTTGGTGTGTGTGTGTGGGGGGGTATACATATTTAAAAACATTTTTGTGTCTCGGAAGCTTATCAAGTGCTTTAATTGTCTAACAAGCGACATTATTCAGGGAAAAGAGGATGTCAACAGCCCTCTTGCACTTTCAAAGTGCGACGTTAATAAAAATAAAACAAAAATGTAGAAAATATATGAAAGAAAAAAGAAATCTGAATATATATATATATATATATATATATATATATATATATATATTTATATGTGTGTGGCAATAAAATCACGCCAAACTGCTTCCTAAATTCTTGTTTTTCTCGTAGCAGACAAGTTTAGCTTTGATTTTTTATTAGTGTCGTTCTTTTGAAGCTTCATAAGGGCTGTTTTGCAACTCAGACGAGTTTGGATCAATACTTGACTAATCAGTTATGAAACAAAATGTTACTTCCTCATTTAAAATCAATGTCTGATTCTAATTTTGTAAAGATCGCGCGGAATAACAGTTACTAATTTTAACCTCTTAAGTAGTCCGGTGTGACGGCCGAAATTTGAATGTTTTTCGTGCATTTTTTTTTTCACAAGAAAATAAAATGCGATTATTTTATAATTTTTACATGTTTTTATTAGTATTTTAAAAAGTACAAAAATGTTTTTTGACTTTATATTTTATGTTAATTTCTTTATAATTTTTTATTTCAAAGTGGAGTCCTTGAAAAAAAGGTGAGCTGTTTTGGGAAAGACCACAGCTTCCGTAGTTATTTGAAATAAAAAATCCAAGAGATTATTGTTCTGTAGACTTTATTCTAATGATCTAACCAGTTATATTCCTATTACAAATTTTTTAAAAAATGGCAGACTTTGAAAAAGGCTCCTAAAATCTAATTTTCTTCGTTGACAACTTGTTAAAAAAATTAT